TGGCTGACAGGCACTGGCACGGTTCCTCGCAGCAGCAGGCTCCTTCCTGGCGTACTCCGCGAGCTTCCCTGCCTGCCCACGCGCTTTCTTCCCACTGCACCATCTAGTCTGCTCTGTCCTCTCCTGACGCTGCTACGCTGAGCCAGGACACGCCTTGGGTTTGGAAACCGCTGCCTGACTTACCCCACGGCTTAGGCTTCAGAGACGCTTGTGCTAAGGCAGCGCTGGTTTCCTGTTGGAGCTGAGTGAAGCAAAGGGAGTGGGGAGTTATTGCTGGTGTCGATTAACAGCTGATTTCCTGGCGTGGAGCCTGTAAGAACACGTGCAGAATTGGTGACTTGCATAGAGGAGGAACAGCAATGTGTTGTGACCTCCTCTGGCAGGAACTAAATGAAGATTGGACAGCTCCCTCTCAAAAGGAGGTTTAGAGAAAAGAATGCTTATGTATGTGAAGGGCTTAATATCTCCCAGCTGAATAAAGTGAACCTTTATTCAAGGCATTTGTTGAAACTTTTCAATAGCATATTTTACTGGACTAAAGGTTTTCAGGAGAAGGTTAAAATAATGGAATTTTAGGTTTGGGTGGGGGTTGTTTCATGTCACAAACTCCATGTAGAAACTGCTGGGTTTCAAATATATTTAACTGTTTGGGGGTTTGTTTTTTTTTTTTTTACAATTTCTTCTTGAGATATCATATTGAGAGAGATCTTTGATACCCCTGGTCCCTCTCAGGATTATAGGTGTGTGATTACCTTGGCTGGCTGCTTTTCTTCAAAGCTAAACGGCTTTTGCCGGTAACGACCGAGCTCCTAAAGAATCGTTCCAGGCTGGCGGCTGAGGGCTTGTTACCTGGCTGGTGTGTTGTGGAGTCTGTTGTCTGCCGATGCTTTTAACACCCCCCTCTGTGAAAAATCAAAGGGTTGTGTTTATACGCTACATTGCTGTCGTTAGCTGTAGGGTGATGCTTGAGTCATTAGTTTCCAAATGTGTGTGATGTTGCAGAATGTCCTCGTGATGTGCAAATCTTGAATCTAAACCAAACGTTATCGCAGTAGAGCTGACCCCCTAAAACATCTTTGCGTGCCTCTTTCAGGAAAGCTGCAGAAAGTGCTCAAGTCACTCTGTATTTGTATTATCATTTACTTTCAGCTGACAAATTAGTGAGTCCTAAAGACATTGACCCCATCGGACGTTATGTGCCTCCCCAAGATCAGCGGAATGTTAGCATGAGATTTTCCAATCAGGTAAGCATAAGCTTGGAATTCAAGTATTTGTACTGAAAAATTGTCATCTACCTGTTACGCACGGTCTAGTACGTGACTAAATGTGTGTACCTTTCCTGAGCTGATGGCTTTGAAAGGAAGCCCCAAACACCTGCAGTCTGGGGGAGTGGTGCATGTTTGCCTTCAACTTCAGTGCTGTGAAGTGGTGCAGTGAGACACATACGTGAAATACTAAGTGTAAATAGCTGCTGATAGTGCATACTATATGCAGTATAGAGCAGTATAATGTACCTTTCTTGGAGTGATATGTTAGGAAGGCAGGAACAAGCCTGCCACCTCCTCCCCCTAATTACCACTTCAGTCTTTTAATATTTGTTGTATTCAGAGCTCCAAGGATGAGGTTCGTTCTTGGTGTGCGTGGTACATACGTGTGCTCCTGTGTTTGGCTTAGATGCACAGCA